TTCTTTTCTTTTCTTTTCTTTTCTTTTCTTTTCTTTTCTTTTCTTTTTCCCTCTTTATTTGGGAGGAATACAGAGTGATATAGTCAGGATGTCTTGTGCCGATTGTAAAAAAATCTGTGCAGTGCTTATTGAAAGTACCAGCTTTATTTCCAGTCAAGTGTAGAAATACATAGAATCCCTTCAGCCTTCCCACTCAGATAATTTTGCCATTGCTATTTCTTCCTCGTTCCTATCAAAGGGCCAAATTTTGCCTTCTCGTATCTATGTGGCTTGTGCTTTGAATTTAAAAGAAGCACATACATTTTTTGAGATGTTTTATCTACAGATAGTGAATGCTTTTGTGCAGGCCTTGCTTAGTGCTCCCTTAGATGGCTAACGTATGTGTTTTCTAGCTTGACTGAAGGAAGCAAAATTTTATTTCGCTCATTCATTTATTTATTTTAAGAAGACTCATTCACCATGAGATACTTTATGAATTAATCTGGAAGATCAGAGTCCCTGGACTGTCAATAACTTGTTTTAGACAAGTCATTAAATTTCAAAGTGTTCTATTTATCATGTTAACAAAAAATCAGTCAATTTCTGTGCTCCTTTCAGTTACAAATAGGTCAGAAGCTGCTTGATGCAAATTTTTGTCTATGGAACTTTCTATGATACTACTGTGATCTTTGCTAGAATTGCTTAATTTCACTAAAATGCAAATACGAATCTAAACTTTAAATATATATGTATTTGAATGCTTCAACATAATGATCCAGAACAATAAGCAAATAAAACAACCTATGATTTATCCATGTCTTGATTAATTTTAATCATAGCTATTTCTTAATTTAGACCTCTCCGATAATTAGGGTAAATTTTGCTTCTAATGATAACACAACTGCTTGCTTAGAGTGGGATTATGGTAATTATTAGAGTTGCAGAGAAATTTGTTCCATAAGCTCTTAGAGGGGTTAGTTATCTGACCAAAACCAAGATCAGTATGGTTGGTGCTAAATAAAGCAAATAGACTAAGGAATAAAAAAGATCTAATTGTGAATTTATGAATATCATTAAAAGCTTACATGGCTAGTTTAACTTGTGTTATGCATTGTTGGGGGAAGAAAGAGCATCTGCATTCATAAGACAAACAGAAATGAGAAGTGACCTTCAATTTTGTAAAGCCTTTATAAGGAAGTTGTTTTAATGGAATAAATGTGGCTAAGCCTCTGATATGGGTCTTTGGCAAACCATAAATGATGAGTAATTAGCTCTACTGTGTGGGGTTAATTAATAAGAGATAGCTTAAAAATAAGCAGAAAATATGTTTGTCCAATACACTAGTAATGTAAATTACGATGATAATAAATTGCTGGTATTTTTTTATCTCTTTGTAGAGGTTTATAAACGTCAGCCATTTCTTGTCTTCAGCACCCTTATGATGTGAATATAGCTACTTCTCTTTTGCAGGTGACACAAATGCATGTTTATCACCAAAGAGCTGGTAGAAGTGAAGGCAATATGCTGAGGGCAAAGGCAGGCATGACCAGAGTGTAAACGTGAGCAAATATCTCTTCCAGGCAGAATTTATATATAGGTAGATATGTCACTGTAAAGCTGTTGAGCCACAGTATTTCTTCATCAGCCTCTGGGAAAAAGCAGATGGGAAGGTGCTGTTTTGAGAGATCTTGCACCATCCGGTCCTCCCTGTGAAATCCCATAGGCTGCTCTTGCTTCTTCAGAAATGACCCATAGCTTAATATCTTCTCCATTACCAAGAGGAGATGCAACAGCAGAAGGGCTACTTCAGCTGTCACTTTACTGGCTAGATGATTCCCCACCATACAATTGAAAACCAAAATCTCATCCTTCCTCAGATTACCCTGTCAGGATGAGCGAAGTCAACAGCTTTGCTCATCCCTTCTGTCCTTTAAAGTGTCTGAATAAAAATCCTGAGAAATGGTGTACAGTACAGACTAACAGACAAGTTGGAGTTTTAGATGCACGTTCTTACTTCCCTTGCAGTTCAGCTCAGGTTCAACCTCACAGTTTTCACCCAATTCCTTACAATATTGCTAGAAACTCCTTGATGAGCAGGAAAACTAGGCCTACATTTACCTTCTCTTTCCTCATTCTATATTTGAGCCCAATAATTAGTGGAAGCTATAAAGTTGATTTTTATAAAAGCAATGTATCTTATAATTGCCTTAGTAGATGTTACTGATAATTTTAATAACATATTCTCGTCTTGAATTTCTTATGTCTCTAATATTTGAATAATAAATAATGACTGTATTGATTAAGCAATAATAAAAATGAAATAATCTTTCGCTTGATATTTTATCCGTGTAATTATATGACCACTAGTGACATGCCAGTTTTCTGTTTCCACACAAGTGTGCTTTAATTGTCAGGATTCTCAAAGAAATGTGTTGAAGGACACAATTAAAGACAACGTGCACAGTTAAATGCAAAAAAATGTTTGCTTGGGATGAGATAATCTACAAGAAAGTCAGGTCTTCGACTGGTACAAGCCGAAGTAGCTTCAGTGACTTTGTCTCTTGCTAACGTTGTTGAAAAATCTGGGCTATAAAAAGGATTTTGAAGTTCTGTTTACAGCCAAGCAGACCCTAATGAAATGCTGACATGTGTGAGATGGATTGATTGTCTGTTTTCTATCTACCCATCACAATTGAATCAGTGGTATAAATAAGTTACTCAGCATACAGTGTAAAAGAGATTATCTAATATACAGTAAGGGGAAAAAAAAACTAAAAGGGAAGAAAAGATGAACAATGCAATAAGCTCTGCTACCACATAGGCTGGTGTAACTCCATTATTCTGCCTGCATTTACGCTGCTGTTGTTCAGATCAGCATTCACCTCTTGTCTTAGAAATTGAATTTATCTCCCACAGCTTTTGTTTTTGCTCACATCCCAAGTTGCATGCTGCTATGCCACTTTTTTCTTTTAATAATTTGTTTTGTAATAATTCTTTGGAGGCATACCAACTGAAACAAGGAAGAGAGAATACAAAACTCGTAATTGAAGCATATTTTCCCCTTCACTTCAGAGATTTCCATGAGATTTGTATTACCACAAAATGTAATGCAGCCTAATTTCAATAACAATCCCTGTTTAATGAGAAAACTGGGGATTCTTCTTTGAAACAAGATTTCAGGAGCATTTTCACCTGTTATTTGTACTCTTTTGCTCTCACATTGTGGCACTTTTTGCTGAAAGCGGAGACAAGTTGAATATTTTTTTGGAGAGTGATCTTTACTTGCTTACTGACTTTATGAAACATTGTTGTCTTTAGTGCTTGCATTCGAAGTGAATCAAAAATTAGAGGAATAGTAATTATTTCAGGTACTACACAGCAATGCAGCTCTGGGAAACTCTTCCATGAATGGGGAAGAGGGACAGTTCTTTTTGTGTGTTTTGTGTGTGTTTTATTTTTAATGAAATATTTACAATTAATTACCTTTTAAAAACTGTCTTTAATTAGATGTTTGCCTAACTACTGTGAACATGGAGGAAAATGTTCTCAGTCCTGGACCACCTTTTACTGCGACTGTAATGACACGAGTTATATGGGGGCAACCTGTCATAACTGTAAGTAAACCCACGTGTTCAATGTTTTCTACTATGGCTGGTATCTCAAAGTGAGTGTAAGTCAGAGAGGAGTTTTATGAAAGATAATCATATATCATAGGATGCTATATGCTGTGACATAGCTATACCAGGTCAAGAATTGGTCTAGGAGTACCCACAGAAATCCACTTGTACATATGTTTATTTATGGACAAATATTTTGGAGAAAACAAAACCTAATTATTTTAACTGTTTTCCACATTCTTTCCTACTTTGTACATTGATTTGGGAAATCTTGCATTCATTTATATTATATATGCATCACTGGCATGTTGGTCATTAGATTTTCTCACTGGGTGACGTATGAGGGGAAATGGCCTCAAGTTGCTCCAGGGAAGGTGTTTAGGTTGGATATCAAGAAAAACTTTACAGAAAGGGTTGTTAAGCATTGGGATAGGCATCCAAGGGAGGTGGTTGAGTCACCATCCCCGGATGTGTTTAAAAACCCTTTGGATGTGGTGCTTAGGGACATTATTTAGCAGAGTCTTGTTAGATTTAGGGTAGTGTGGTTAAGTTGTGGTTGAATTTGATGATCTTGAGGGCCTTTTCCAGCCTGAGCAATTATGTGACTATGTTTCATTGAATTTAGCTAGGCTAAGATGGGTGATGTTAATCTCTTGTTGGGATTTTAAGTTAATTTTGGCACCAGTAATGAATATCTGATATAAAAATTATTCGCTTTTTGTTAGTCTGTCTTCTATTGTTATTCTGCACCAAACGTGTAGGCCAGTAGAGGGTACATGTGCCATCTTTCTTACATGTTATCTTGAAGCTCAGATTGCAAGCATTTTGGTGAATGATTTAGATTGCTGCTATTAGGAAGGATACAGGATCTGAAATGCTGGCAGTACATGAAGCATGCAGCTACTGAAATCCATGGCAGTGAGTATTAAGGTGATTGAAAAACTTTAAGAAATGTACCAAATGCAGCACACTGGTAATTCTAACAAAACAGAAAGGAGAAAATGGAATAACATCAGTTCATAAAGCTAACTAAAAGAAAAAAGCAGCAACAACAACAAAAAGCCAAAATGAATGCAAAACTGGAGAAAAAAGGGTGTTCTAAGTTCTACAGTTCTAAGAATACAGCTGTAATCTCTCCAGGTGTTTGCTGAACACTCAGGGGGCAGACAGGGTAAGACTGATAAGAGATTAATTTTTCTGTTAAGATAAAAAGTAGTGGAGGAGATATTCAGTGGTATGAAGCTGAGAATATTGGCAACTGTACTCTAATTCAGGAGATCCTAATTATTTGCTAATTAATAATGACATCATTTGTGGTGTGGAGTCTGTAGTAAATGGAAGAGGTAGTTGAGAGGTCTATTTATAGATTTGCCTTCCAAGCTGAGAGCACCTGACCACTACATTGTAAGTACAAAGCAAGCTAAGCAGTACAAAAATCATCTGGATTATACCAAGTCAGATTGAAGGATGTGAAGAAAAATGAGTTTATAGTTTGGAAAAGAGGAATTACTGTGTGCCCAATGTTTCTGTTGTTCCAAAAAGCATGTGAGATCACTGTGGCTTGTGTCTGAAGGAGGAGACCATATTTATTGCTCAGGGCTGGTTCTTGGCTAGTTTTCCATACAAACATTCATATAGAGTTAGTAAAGCCTCTTCTGTGAACTCATGTATTTGCTGTCCCTCAGCTCTAAAGGCACATAGAGACCTGCAGTTATTTAAGGTTTACTGATGTAAAAACTGCTCTGAAAAGTTTCTTGAGAAGATCTATGTTAAGATTTTACAGCAGATCAAGCTGTGCACACGTGATATACAGCTATTCAGCTGCTGAGCTTATTTACAACCATCTTAACAACTAATTTGATTCCAGCTGGATTGTGGAGCCAGCGGTCCTGTAAGCCAAGCAACACTGATAAACAGCAACATTAAACCAGAGGAATGCATTCATCTGCTTGAGATGTCTGATGAAATCATTTCAAAGCCAGTGGGCAAATGTTGTCTGCTGATAAGGCACCTACAGAACAAGAGACGTTATCGCTTTCAGCTGATAGTGGTTGACATACAGGAGCAGCTTGTAGCAGGGTGGATGAAAGTCTCAGATCTGATCACTATACCAGTACTATACCAGAATATCCTCACTATATAGGCAACTCCTCCAATCATGTTATTCAGTGTAGTTCTGTCAAAAGCAAGCATCTAATTTCTCAAGTTGTGAAACATTATCTCAACAGGTTTTGATTTTTACTACAACATGAAAGCTAACAGGCCTGAAATTGAACTAGAAACATTTTATTTATTTACTTATTTGTACAAAACTGCCCTTCAGACATAAGTTTGCACAGAAACAGTGGAAAGATTTAAATGACAATCTGCTGCAAATCAAAATTAGTGTGAGTAGTATCATTGTCAGCTGTATTTCCTCTCTTCTAGAGTTGCATCAGTGTGATTTTTTTATTTTTTTTTTTTTTACCTTTCACTGATATGAGAAGGCAAGCCTGTAAGAAGTTTGTCTTGGTTTCAGGAAGAACTGTATCATGCATATTTACAAATCAGAATTAAATGATTTATGTTTTATCAGCTCTGACTGGGGGATCTTACCATTTAAGAAGGGATATCTGAAGATATATTGACCCTGACTGTATGCGTTCATTTGTAAAATTGTGAGTGATATATTCCATGTTCAATAATTAAGCAATCTCAGTGGTTTCTTCCAAGAATTCATGGGATGCACTGGATCCCACTGTGAGGAACAGCTGATAGTATAGATTATCCCTGCTCCAAAGAGTTTTTCCTTTATGTTTTTGAGGGCAGAAAACATCCTAATGCATAGGATGGAGTATCAGAAAGTCTTCATCAGCATCACGTGCAGTGATTTTAGTCTACCAGGTACATAATTATTATGATGCTTCCTTGTAGGCAGAAAGTAATAAGGTATATTAAAAAGAGGAAGAAATGGAATGCTCACAGACATGAAGGACTTATGTGGGAGAAAGCAATAATGTACTTGTTTGAAAAATATAAGGCTGTGGCCAGAGTAGTCTTGACATTTTTGACAGGGCAAATGCCAAAGTCCTGACAGGTAGACTGGTTGGTAATATGCTGTGAAAAGCAAGGATAAATAGTTTGCCTTTGACACAACAGAAGGAAAATATACAGTGGCAGGACAGAACAATAAGTTGATAGAAGACACAACTGGGACAATGTTTGCATGACCATGGCAGATAAATGGGACAAGATTGTGTCTGCCATGACTCGAAATGGGTATAGCTGAAATTCAAGATGTGTGGATGAAGAGCAGAAGCACACATTTCAAAATAAATATAAAGAACTAGGTGACCTGCGCATATAATCCTTCCAGATATAGTCTTTCCAGCAGCGATTCGTGTGCTTCAAACCTCAGGCATCCTCCTGCTCATTCAAAATCCCTTTTGATTCTGATAGATTTATCAGAATCAGTTACAGAAGGTATGGCAATCTACCTTATCCAGATAAGGGGCCACCAACAAAAGGGTGTAGGGTCATGTACCTTTAAATAGATATTCCACAGCAGACAGGTTTCACCTTGAAGTCTCATTTAGTCCTGCTTCTCCTCTTCTCTTGTCTGAACTTAACTGTCTATACAAATAACAAATCCTTTAGTGTTTTTTGGATTTCTGTGACATATAGGAGGAGAGTGAAGGCAGGTTGTTTGCTTGTGCAGCTTGTTGCCCGATGCATAAGCCCATTTCTCTTAGCAACCACTAATTCTCCTTCACACATCTCCACGTGGAATATTTACTAACACCTTCCAAGTCTTCCCGTCACCCCAGTGGAGGAAGAGGATTTGAACTTACCTTTCATCCTTCCAGCTTCCAATGGAATTCATGTCTCCTTGCCAGCTTGTCACAGCACAGGTTAGCAATGATGTGGACATGCAGTACAGTGGGAAATAAGGAACTTGTGCTGACTATCCCCAGATACTCATTTCACTGCCTAGTTTAAGGAGATAAGTCAGGGAATAAACCCGTGTGACATGCTCATCTATGAATTTCACTGTGCTTTGATTTCTCTTCCTCTGTTGGGAATAACATCCAATCTGCAGGTATACTGGAAGGTGCATAATCCATATGTTATAAAGAAATGATACGGTTTATTTCTCCTGAAACTACTGTTTGCTTTCTGCTTCTTGAGCTGATCCAGACTTAAGACAGTGCTTTCAGCATGCAGTCTTTGTTTCAAGCCTGTAAAATGCCTGTTTTTGATTTCTGGTTAATCTTTTAAATGTGCTTCACCCAGCTTGTATTTACATAGGTTAGGAGTTTAGCTGGGTCAAAAGCTTAATTAAATATGCTTTCCCAGTTTTTCTGTGTGATGTGTAGCCTACTGATCTGTCAGCTGCTGCACTTCATTGCTACATGTGTGAAACATGGCAGAGTATATGGTAATGTAATCTTTGTTTTCTGTTTTTCTATTTTAGATAGAAACACTGATTCTAGTGAACAGTGTAGGAAAAAGGTCTGGGCAGGGTTCAGCTCATTTAGTTTTCACTCTCAGGTGAACAACTTTGTGACATCTAATCTAAGTAAGTGATCTCACCTCTGCAACAGAGTGAGCTATTTTGTGAAGTTAATTGCATTGTATGTCAGGGTGTCCATGGCAGGAACCACCTCTGCAATGTGCCAGTTTGTCTATTGGCTCCAGTTGCAGGCTGTCCTACCTTAGGCAAACAGTAGGCACTGGATCAGAGTTATAGGTGTATATATACAGAGAGAAAAGAACAGAGAGAGGAATTGTAGGTGTATAGATAATGTTTAAATTGAAAGGTCACAGTTTAAAACCTGAACAGTCATCTCTTTCATGCTGTTAAATCTGCTTGTAATTACCATGTGGCAGAGAAAGCAATAGACCACTCTAAAATAGCCCTGAGATACAGACTGTTATCATTTTATTGCAAGGTAATGATTGGTAATTTCCTCTTTCGGTGACTTATGTTACTCCTTTACAAAGCTTCATCTTCCCCT